TGGGTAAAAGTTTCAGATTTTAGCACTTAATTTCACTGGGAGTATTAAATGGATTTCAACCAACTTCACCATAAAACATGAGCGAGAAAAAGGAAATATGAAAATTCATGCTGTTTGCCTTCACATGTCTGCCGTTTTCTCATCCCAAGATTAACAATAAAAATCAGATTTACGTTCTGTAATTTTCCACCTGGTGCTGCATTTATTACCAGCAATAGCCTCAGTCTAGCAAGGATCTGGGATGAACCCCTACTAAGCTGCAAGAACGTAATGAAGAGCGTGTTTACAGGTAATCCTCTCATCTGCATCGATGTTTCATCCCAGTGCTTGCACATCTGCGGCTGCTGCTTTTCTCAGCCCACAGCCAGGACTCCTTGTAGGGCCATGGCAGCAGCCGGTACAAACCAGGAGAGTAGTAATGGCCCTACACCTCGACTCTAATACTTACCCCACACACACACCCCGCCAACCCCACACCACCACCACCCCACACACACATACCCTACCAGGGAGGGCTGGTAGCACAGTGGCCTACATGCTGGGCTCTAACTGCTAGGTCTGCAGTGTGAAACTACCAACCACTCCATGGGAGAAAGATGAGGCTTTCTACTCCCCTAAAGAATTGGTCTCAGAAACCCATAAGGTTTCTGGATTCTACTCTTCCTACAGGATCACTATGAGTTAAAATCCACTCCATGGTATGAATTTGTTTTGTTTTGTTCTTGTTACTCCCTTCCCACTACAAGGAAGCCTTGTAACAGGTGTAGTGGGTTATGCATTGGTTTGGTAACCTCAAGGTCAGCAGTTCGAAACCACCAGCCATTTGTTGGGAGAACTATGAGGCTAAGAGTTACAGCTTCAGGATCCCAAAAGGGCAGTTCTATCTGTCTAATCAGATTGCTATAAGTTGGAATCCACTTGACATCTGAGTTTGACTTCCTAACACTACAAAATGTAGTTTTGAAGGAAATAAAAAGGGATAACATACATTTAAATATTGGGAATTTAGAAGTGTATAGCCTTGGCACTTATGTATTCATGTTTACTGTTGAAAGATACAATTACAGTGTGCATGGCCATATGAAACCAAAACCCATACTCCATGGACTAGATTTCAACTTACAGTGTTGCAATACAAGGTTTCCAAGACTGCAAGTCTGTGGGAACATATAGATTTATTCTAGCTGGTGGGTTTTTGAACCGCCAACCTTGTGATTAGCAGCCAATGTCTAATATACATCACCTAATCCTGTAACTCACTGGCTTTCTGAGAAGAGAACTCTTTCCAGGAGTAGAAAGCCTCATCTTTCTCCTGCAGAGAAGCTGATGGTTTCAAACTGCTGACTGGGGCTAGTGGCTTAATGCATAACTACTACACCCTAGGGCTCATACATCGCCCAATAGATAAATAACCCAAACACACTGCCATCAACTTGATGCTGACTCATAGCAACCCTACGGAACAAGTTAGCACTGCCCTCTGTGGTTTTGGAGACTGTACCTCTTTACCAGAGTGGAAAGCCCATGGTTCTCCCATGAGGCAGCTAGTGGTCAAAGCTGTTGATCTTATGATTAGCAGCCCCGCTTATAAACCACCACACCAGCAGGGCTCCTTACATCACCCTATAGAACAAAACAAAGAAGAACAACAACAAAAGGATAGACGATATTGCTAATCTTTCCTCGTACTGCTGCTATTGTGAGTTGTCATGGCATCAGCTCCTACTCAGAGCAACCTTGTCTAAGGCCAAGCAAAGTGCTGCCCAGTCCTGTGCCACTGTCATGACCATAGGCATGCTTGCTTGTCTCCCAGCACTGCAGGGAACACTGTCCTACTGTGACTCGAAAGATTTCCATTGACTCATATTCCAAAGCAGGTTGCCAGTCCGTTCTTCCTGGTCTGTCTTGCCTAGACAGTGCCGAAACCTATAACTGCTGATATTCTTGGAAATCCAAAAGTGTACCTTCCAGCAGCATAGTGGCACTCTCATTACGACAATGCAACAGCCTGAAAGCTGGGCGGTGGCTAACTCGTGCGGACTTTTGTAGTTCTGGAAAAAGCTGCATTTCTAGCTCTCTGTTTGTAGACTTAAGGAAAGACAACACTAGTTCTGAAGAGCCAGCTAGTTCAATAAAAACAAACAGAGGCTGAGAGTGTGTGGTGGGGGTGAGTGGGGGCAGTGGAGACGGGAAGAGGTGGCCTTTGAGACTCCTCCAAACCACAGCACAACCGCCCTATTAATAAGTCACTGGTGGACTGTGAAGATGGGTCGATGGTCTGTCACTGGGAGTATGTGACTGTGTACTTAAGCTGGCAGAGCCTGACGGTTCAGTAGCCGAGTGCAAGTCAGTGGGTTAAGATCACACGATCCAGGGCCCTAATCTTTGCCCTGCTCCGTGAGCCTGAAAATGCCGACTCATCTCTTGGTAGCCCTCCTCCTTTATCAGTAAAATAGGGGCTGTCAGACAAAACTCTCAGAGCACTTACTACTAATAATGATCATAGGATACCTGTAAAATTCAAATGCTATGGAAACATGAAATCATGTCTGGGACCTGCCAGCACAATCTGTTTCTCTTTTGATATCACAGGGGCTTAGATACAATCTTCCTAGCCTAAGAGGGGCCCCGGGAAATGCTATGGTTTCCCCTGCTTTGATTTGTGAAGTATTTCATGCATTCTCGCTTTAGAGACAGGCTGAACACAGCACTATACCCATTTGGTGGGTGAGGAACTGAGGCCCAGAAAGATGGCGTGTCCATGACCGCAGAGCTGGCGGAAGCAGAGACCCAGCAGGAGGTCAGGCTTCCTCATCCAGTGGGCCGCCCGCATTATGTGCTGCCTCTCAAATTGGAAAGGGAGGGTACTGAGACATGGATGGATTTGTTACTGTTGTTTCGGCTCACATTTGCCGAGAACTCTCTCCATTCCCATCTATTAGCTCATTTCGTCTTCCACTTGTGACCACCACTTCAGCCCAGAATGAGGGCTCCTTCTAGAAAAGTCCTGAAGCAGGTCTGCTAGCAATACCTGTTTTCTGTAGATGAGGGATGATCCTGTATTTCAGTTCAGCACTCACACGCACACTGCACTGTGAGGGTGCTGGAATAGAGGCGTCACGGAATGCCTCTTCTCAAGGAATACTGGTTTATTGCATGGCCACAGGTAGCTGATTATAAAAATATATATATCCATGCAAAGCCAAGATTTATGATTAATAAATGTGCAAGAAAATGACAAGTCGCAGCTCTTCAAATAGTTCAGTGAACCTTGCATTAGCTGATGACATTTCTTAGCCTCGCTATTTTAACTCTGCTTTTCCAAGGCCTTGGGCATTTTTTTTAATCATTTTATTGGGGGCTCAGACAACTCTTATCACAATCCATACATACATCCATTGTGTCAAGCACATTAGTACATTTGTTGCCATCATCATTCTCAAAACCTTTGCTTTCTACTTGAGCCCTTTTTTTTTTTCGTATCAGCTCATGTTTTCCCTTCCCTCCCCACTCCCCCTCCCCCATGAACCCTTGATAACTTATAAATTATTATTTTGCCATGTCTTACCCTGTCCAATGTCTCCCTTCACCCACTTTTCTGTTGTCTGTCCCCCAGGGAGAGGGTTATATGTAGATCCTTGTAATCGGTTCCCCCTTTCTAACCTACCTTCCCCTCCACCTTCCCAGTATCGCCACTCTCACCACTGGTCTTGAAGGGATCATCCTCCCTGGATTCTCTGTGTTTCCAGTTCCTATCTGTACCAGTGACCATCCTCTGGTCTAGCCAGATTTGTAAGGTAGAATTGGGACCATGATAGTGGGGGAGGGGGGAGCATTAAAGCACTCTGTATTTTTTAAACACTGTATTGTGATGTAGGATTCCAGAGCCGCATGGTGGTTTTGCACACAGCAATTCCTGCACATTTGATTGCAACTCATTGACCGTAGTCCCCTCACCCTCTCTCTTGCTCCCAGCATTTCCTGTTTCCACTCCTCCTTCTTTCCTAACCCTCTGTCCTGAGCTAAATGCTGCCCTGTTGATCTTAAGTGGTTATTCTAACCCAACGGTAACGGGATGGGAGTGGGTTCACTCCCAGATCTTAAGGGTGACTAAAGGCCAGATGCTTGGGGGTCCCGCCAGTCTCTCAATTCAGCCAATAAGCCTCATCTGTTCTATGATTTTGTGTTCTGTTCCACACTTTCTCTCCCACTCTCCAGATCTTCTAATACGATTCTTTTCAGAGCAGTTGGTCGTGGTAGTGGGCACCGTCTAGTTCTTCTGGTTTCAGGGTTGTTTCGTATAGGGTGTTTGTGTAGTCCATTAGTCCACTGGACTAATTGTGTCCATGTGTACTTCAGTTTTCATCACTTTTCTTTCCCCTGAAAAGTGAAGAGACTAATAATACTTGGACCTTAGTTGGCTGCTCATGAGCAGTTCAGACCCCAGTCATGACTCACCAAGGTAGGACGCAGAGCATTGTCTTTGTGAATGAAGTTATGCCAGTTGACTTTGGGGCCCCCCAAGACCTACGGTCATGATCCTTCAAGCCCATCAAGCCATTCCTTCGAGGTGTTTGGTTCTAGGGCGTTTTCATCAATTTACTGCCTGTATAGTCCACCAGATTCAGCAAAGATAAATACACATATATAAATATCCTCCGTCAAAACCATACATACATTGAGTATATAACATGTATAATGTATATACATACATATAAGTGCAGGGGTATATACAGACTCTCCTCCCCACGCCTGTCCATCCTGCATGTCTTTCCCAGTGTGTACTTGTAGTTCACCGCTATTACGGGACTTTGTGTATAACAGTATTTGTGTCAGGTGCCTATAGCTCTTGGAAACCTCCCTGTCTTCCCCTGCATCCATCATTTTGGCCCCTAACCTCTCTCTTATTATATATTGCCTTTCCCTTCACTCAAATTAGCTCATGATGTTTGAACTGCTGATGGATTCCCCCAAACTCGTTTTGCCTCGTGGCTCCTTACCTGCCAGCATACTGTCTGTTTTTATTGAGGGAAACTTCAGAGTCATTTCATGCTTGTGCCTATGAATCATCAGATGGTCCTCTGTGGGGAAGCGCTGTTGACAAACAGGGGAGGAAGGGAGACGGGAGAAGAGAAGAAGCATTCAGTTTTGTAATACATCTGCCATCATAGGAATTGGTATATATATTCTATTAGGAATTGAAATCCTAATAGAAAAAAAAATAACCAGTTCATAAAAGTGTGAAAGCATACCTAAGTTACAAGTTATTTTATTTTATGTAAGCAAAATGTGCTATGATGTTCCTTTGAATTGTACCCAAATACATGCAAACTTATTGACATTATAATTACCAAAGGGCTTAGCTGCACAGCAGGAAAAGCTGGCTGAATGATATCGAGAAATTGGAGATCAGCTCTTGGGGTTCCCTCATTCTCTGATTCCTCACACACCTTCTCTGGGAACTGTTAATTTTATTGGTTTTCTGTTTTAATAATAATTACAATGATAGCAATCCAGGGGCAGGTAGGGGTGGGGTGGGGGTTGGCCTGGTTTCATTTCACTTATTTTCTTTCCTTTCCTCTTAAATTCTTCATTTCAATTGAGTCAAGGTTTACAGGGCAGATCAGTTGTCCACTCAACAATTCATGCGTGTGTTGCTTCATGCCACTGATTGCAATCATTACAATCTAGCATTTGCTATAAAACCAACCAACAAGCAAAACCAGTTGCCAATGACTCCAATTCATGGTGATGTGCTATTGATCAAACTAGAACTACATCCCACTGGGTTTTCAATGGCTGCGATCTTATAGAATGAGACGGCCAGGCCTGTCTGCCATGACACCGCCAGTGGATTCAAACCACTGAACTCTCAGTCAGGAGCCAGGCACAAACCATTGGTAGCACACCGAAACCTTACTGCTTACAAGTGTCTGAATATGACCAACGGTAATGTCTCTTCATTAAACTACTAATTAGCATATATACTAAGAAGATGTCCTTGCCTAACACCTACGTTAGCCAGCTTCTACATAGAATGAAAGAGGGTTTAAATTCCTTTTATCCATGGCCCCAAAGAAGACTTCCTAACAGTGAGCTGACAAAAGTGGAACTCTACGTGTAGATATGAGTCAGCCCTGGTGGTGCGGTGGTTGTGCACTGGGCTGTGTTCGGCCTGTGAAAGACTGGGCTTTCTACTCTCTAAACAGTAAAGAGTTTCAGAAACACACACAGGATCACGATGAGGCAGCGCTGACTCAATGGCAGCAAGTTTGGGGGTTTTTCTCAAGCCATGTCCAAAGTAGGAACGTGGGCCTAGCCCAGGATGGCACTAGAGTTTTGCAAAACCATTTGGAATTTCTCTCTCATAGTTTCTGTTCAACCTAATCATGTAAAATTAAGTCTAAGGCATGATAAGCATGCTAGACATTAGCTATAGATTAATCAGAAGTAGAGGAAATGCATGAAACAGGGAAAGAATCCTGATTCACATCAGACTTTGGGGAAGAATTACATGCCATGGTTAATTATTTGACATCTGTATCTAGCAATCTGTGCCATGACATTTATATAGTATGTTTCAGTTTACCAAGACCTTGCCCACTCATTATCTGATTTCTTGGTAATTATACCAAGATTTTTTCCCCATTAAACTGTTACATTTGGTTTTTGTTTGTTCGTTAGCTTTTTATTGTGAATTGGGTGAAGTTTTACAGAGTAGATCCGTTTTCCATTCAACACTCCATACATATTTGTTTCATGCTATTAATTTCAATCCCCACAGTGTAACATCACTTATTCCACTTCCTCCCTGTAATAGACAGATGGCCATGTAGCACATGAGGAATTCTTTTTAGTAACCTGTCCTCTCTCGGTACAATATCACAAGTCAGCACTTGATTTTTCATTTTTAGAGAATGACATTCCGGTTGTTACAAATCCTGCTCTCACATATTTTTGGTGGCCTGACTTCTGGTCGCATGTTTAGACTGTACTTGCCAGCCCTCATGTGTTTAAGTGGGGCCATACAACTAGTGGTTCCCTTTGAATCATGAGAGAAATGGACACATCATCCAGAGAAGAACATTTAATTCCTGATCCAAGGCTGTCTAGTTCTCCTCACCTTTCTGTTAGCAGGGTGATTTGCAATCTTGGAAAAGGTGGCCCTTCCATTAGCCTCGATCTCTGAAAGATTATCAAGGGCACAGTTCTCTTGCCAACCTACCTTGGACAATAGAAGTAAACCGCTATTATTTGAAGCCATTGAAATCTGGGGGTAACTTGTTATTGCAGCAGATCCTTGCCTCTTCTGATTCAATGTGGTATGTTTTTAATAACTGAACTGATCAGAGTATCCCTTTCATCAAAGTCAGATGCAAAGACAATGACAGACAATAGACTCTACTGAATATTTCTTAATCTTTCTTTGACGAATTAGAAGTTCATTTGGAGCTGCCTACTTTCTTGGGATTGCTTTTTTATGTTCCAAAGCCATCATATAATGTGGCAGAAATCTTTTCTGAAAATAGTATCATTTTGTGTTCAAGAGAATGAGAAAATTTACTGGCTTGAATCTATAGGCTACTATAGGTAGTTCTTCCCATATATAGCACATGTTTATTTGCCATTTATATTAGATAACTTGAAGAGCTTAGAATTTGAAGAAAAGGGAAGGTGGGTCATTGAAGCCCAGATTTCTGAATATATCCAAGTTCACAAGAATATTTGGCCTGTTTCTGCTGTGTTATCTGTCTTCTCCATGCGCTCCAACACTACATAGCGACTGCATCGAACAGATAGTCTTCTCGACGTGGTTGATAGTCTTCTTGACACGCTCTAACACTGTGTAGTGACAGCGTCAAACAGATAGTCTTCTCAACGTGCTTGATACAGTCTCCTCAATGTGCTGTAACACTACATAGCGACTGCATCAAATAGATACAGTCTTCCCAACACGCTCTAACACTGTATGGTGACTGCATCAAACAGATGCGACAACCACTGCCTATGATTTAGAGACATAGAGTAAATTTCCCAGTCATTTTGTCAAAAGTTGCATTTGAACTTTTTCTATCACATACATAACAACAAACCATGCGGCCACATCCTTTGGTTCATCTCTGCCAACCACGTTGGCCTGTATAGAAAGAGAGCTTAAAATAGACTAGTGACCAGAATACTTGTGAAATCATAATGCTCATACTGTTGGGAATTAATTCTAGTTAATTAACTTCCCCATAAAAGGCAACACGCTTTTAAAATTTAACCACAAATTGTAAATGAGCAAAATATACAACAAATAGAAACCGAGAAAGGCAGGCCACTGAGGTTGGGGAGGCAGCTTATGGAGTGGGAAAAGAAGCAGTAGAATTAGCCCTGAGCTCTGTGAGATTAGAAAGACGAGAGAAGGGTCGCATGACTTTGGGGACAACGACTGCCAAGAAGCTGTAGCATTGAACTCTCCCAGGTTTACAGTTGATTCCTATTATACTCCTGTTTCTTTCCAGTGAGAGAAAAGGCAAGGGAAATCCTTTCCAAAACCCCAACTCGATGTAGCATGGACACCTCCAACACGGACTTCCTCTTCTGCTCTTGGTCCTTTTCCTCTTTCTGCCGATTGCCAGGCTGTGGAAAGTTGCTGAAATCAGTGTTGGGATCATGCTGACTGGCTCCTCCATGAGTTCCTGCTACCCCACCAGGAAACCCTGGGCCCCACTGGGAAGCTACCAGAATTCCTCGGAGCTCAGACTTGATCACTTGAAAGGCAGACACAGTGTGTCAAGCAAAAAGACACGCGTCACAGGAACTAGAGATGGTGCGTCTTAGAGGTATCCTTCTACTTAAATGTGTGTGAAGGTGGCTTGAAATGGTGCTTCACAATCAAGACGCAATACCCGTCTGCTTGTTCCGGCTTTCTGTCATCCACCTCCTCCTCAAGAAAAGGACCTGCTCCTTTACTTCGAGGGTCAAAGTCACCCAAAGCAGACTCCTCCATCCTTCTCTCACTGCTGCTGTCTGCACCTCAGAATTCTCTCCCTTTCCCCTGCGTCTCGGGGGAACTAAGTACCTCTCGGTCCGGCATCCCTTGTATTCTGGGATTGGCTCTCTGGCCGAGGTCCTCCGTGCTAGTGTTCCCTTCTCTTCCCCTCTCCTGGTCTCTTAACTCTTGAGCAAACCCAGCCCACCGAGCCCTTCATTGAAAACGAAGCTTTCCCAACTGCTTCCTTCTCAGGCTACCTACCATTAGATCACCCTTCTTCCCTTCGCAGCCGAACGCTCTTGAAAGAGCCCTGTATACTTCCCACCTCCACTTCCTCCCACCCACTCTCACACGAATCCCTTGCAATCTGGCCTCCACCCCTGCTCCTCTCTCATAGGGTGCCAGCGAGCGCCCAACTGCCAAATCCAACAGTCAGCTCGGGCCTCACACTGCCCCCGCTCTGGTGCGCCCGACACCAGTGACCACACCACGGTGGTGGCATCTATTGAGTTATGCCTGCTGGATTCCCACAAGGAGCTAAGACTGCTTGTAGCAATCCATAAAACGGAGTCGGGCAGCATCAGTTAGGGGCTGGTGAGCCCGCAGGGGGAAGGGACCCCGAAAGAAGAAAGGCAGAAGCCACAATACAAACCAGAGCACAGTGGCTCTGTCAACTGGGGGAGGCTTTGCTGCCCAGTGGACATTTGGCAATGCCTGGAGAAAGTTTGGGGTGTCACCATGGGGTGCTGCTGAATATCCCACCATGCACCGGACACCTGTCACACACACAAGAAAGAATTGTGTGGCCTGTCCCCAAAGGTCAATCGTGCCAAGACCTGAGGATCTCTGGCATCCAGTCCAATAGTCTGCTGACAGCTCTCTTTCCTCCTGACTTAGGTGAATATTAGACATGGGTAAGAATCTCTTCCTGGACATAGTCTCCTCTCCTCTCAGTCATAACCCTGACATGGGGGGCACCCGAACTCAAGCTGGACTCTTAAGGATCCCATGCTCTCAAGTATACCTCCCTGAAAATAGTCTCCCATCGCCCAACCTCCAAATAAAATACACCCTTTTGGGGATGCGCTTCAAGATTCCCATTGAACGCATGGTGGCTAAGGGAAATAGCAGTGGTTAGGGCCCACGAGCTGCTGCTCATAAGAAAGATGAGGCGAGTTGCCAATGTAAAGATGGTAACCTAGAAACCCTTCAGGGACAGCTCGACTGTCCTCTGCGGGCCCTCGAAGTCCCTATAGGATCAATGGCAGTGAGTTTGGTTTTATCATGCTGGTTTATGATACTTGTCCAAGGTGACCTGTGTTCCTTCCTTGTTCACCGAATATTATCACCAACTCATCAATTGGTTAATGAACCATGTGGCTACATGTTTGCTGTGGAGATCAGAAACTGCATGAGGACAGAGGTTCTCGGTCTTGTCTGCTCTCTCCCCCAGGCAACCGCAGTGCCTGGAGCAAGGCAAATTAAAAAAAAAAACAAAAAAAAACATGTTGAGTGACTTGACTGAGTACAATTTCATGTGCCCAGGGCCTAACCAAATCACACGGCTCAAAATATTTGATCCCCTGTGAGTTTACATAGTTCTCGTTGAAGAAGCTGGGTACAAATTTGTTTTCCTTTTGTTGGGTAAGTTTTGTTTTATTTTGTTTTTTAACATTCCCAATGGTTATCCCTGGTTGTGCAAGATTTCCCCAAGTTACTTGTCAACCCTCTGTGTTTTCCTAGTGGTCCCTGTTCCAAAGTGAGCTCCCAAACCGATTTGTAACACCTCTGCCACAACTAATTTATCTGCTGCTTTTCCTCTTTGGAGGGTGGTAATAAACGTCATACAAAAACTCCTGTTGAGCCTGCCGGGGACCTAAGCAAAGAGTCCTGGCTGCTCCAGCGGTCACGGATAGCGTCGCCGTGCCATCTAGTGCTTCCCTCCTGGAGCCTTCCACAAACTCTCAGGGGAGGCATAGGAAACAGCCAGGGTTCTCCAAGGGTGTGACCCCCTTCAGCACTTCCTGGACATTGTTCCACGATGTCCTGCCAATCCCATCACATAAACACTTGGAAGAGTGAGACGACTCCTTTGGAAACTCCTGAACAATTCAGAAGGCACCCTGGTAGCCTGCGGAGTTACTCGGTGGGCCGCTAACTGATGGGTCAACAGGTGAAACCCACCATCCTCTTTGTGGGAGACGAATGAGGTTATTTTCCCCCCGACCATTTTCACAGGTTCAGGAAACCTAGGGAGGCTTCTCCGCTGTCTACAGAGTCATTGTGAGGTGGAGTCAAAGGGATGGGAGCAGGCTTTTGGAAACATGCCTGTGCTCTGAGGTCTAAGCTGAAGTGAAGATCCTGGCCTGGTAGTGGCCACATGTGGTCACTGGCCTCCATTTTTCAATGACTGGAAGGTGGAGATAAGCCAAGAGTCTGATGTGGGTGTGGCACATAGCCACTAAACGATCTGATTCTTCAGGGAAAAGTAACACTTTGATTCTAGATGAGAGATAGTTGCAATATATATATATATGTATATTTATATATTAAGAGCTAGGTTCTTATTTAGTAGCAGCAACAACAACAATACATGAAGTGAGCACTTGCTATGAGCAAGCCCCATACAAAACACTATCTGGACACGACCTCATCTGACCCTCACAAAAATGTCACTTGGTAAGTGCCACACATCGGGTCCACTCACCTTTTTAATGTTCAGACAAATGGGGAAAGTGGGGGTTGTAGAGAAGAGCCCTGAAGGGGTAGTGGTTACATGTTGGGCTGCTAACTGCTAGGTCAGCAGTTCGAAACCACCCAGTCACTCTGAGGGAAAAGATGAGGCTTTCAATGCCCAAAAAGAGTTAAAACCCTGTCCTATCAGGCTGCTATGGGTCAGCACTGACAACATGGCAGTGAGTTTAGTTTGGGGTTCAATAGGTGGTAGAACATGTATGTCGTTGTTAGCTGACGTGGAGTGGCGTAGACTGATGGAAACCCCATACACAGGGGATAGGACCTTTGTGATCCCACAGGGCTTTCATGGGCTGATTTTCTGCAGTTAATCACCAGGCCTTTGTTCTTAGCCCATGTTAGTCTGGAAGCTCACTGCAGTATGTGCAACATCATAGCACAGCGGTCACTGTGCAAGAGGTCCAGGATTGGAATCAGTGTCTTCCCCTGTACAGTGAGAATCCACCCGGGACCACCAGTAGAGTCAGGGGCTGAGAGGCCGTCAAGGCTCAAAGGGGAAAACCAGACAGAACAAACCCAAACCATGTATGCCAGTAAAAGACTTCACCAACAAGTCAAAGGCCCGGTATTCACACGGTCGGTCGCCGTGAAAGCAGCAGGCTGCCTTCGTGGACCTTCCTGAAGCAGCAGGCCTGCACAGCCGATGGGCAGGATGAGCCTGGGTTATTTCCAGGAGGAAGTGACGGGTGGAAACAACTGGGGCAAAGGTGGCTGACCCTCTTCAAAATGGGAAATCACTACGGTGATGAAGGGGGTAAGGATGCTGAAGATAGTGGGGAAGGGCACCTTGCTAAAGAAGAAACACCCACAGGAGACAGGGTTGTAAAATGAGAGCTGCTTCCCCACTGGGGGTAGGGGAGGTTCTCCAGCAAAGCCAGGGAAGCTCACACTCACCTGGGAGCAGCCTGGGGCACTGCAGACAAAGGGCCTCTCCTGCTCCAAATTCATCTTGGATTCCTCATAAATCTAAAGGGTGGGGGTGGGGGAGAGAGGAAGGAAATCAGAAAGGCATGAGTATCTCGGCTTCTACCTGAGCAACACGCGGCTGTGGCATTGGCTTGGAAGCGCCTGCCTCCCCCACCCATCCCAATTTCTAACAGTGAAACACTCGCTGCTGTTGGGTTCATTTCAACTCAGCGCGACCCTTTAAAGCAGAGGTTCTCAACCTTCCTAATGCCAAGACCCTTTCATATAGTTCCTCATGTTGTGGTGACCCCCAACCATAAAATTATTTTCATTGCTACTTCATCCCTCTCATTTTGCTACTGGTATGAATCGGGCGACCCCTGTGAAAGGGTCTTTTGACCCCCAAAGGGGTCGAGACCCACAGGTTGAGAACTGCTGGTTTAAAGGGTTTCTGAGGCTGTACCTCTTGAGCAGAGCAGACAGCCCCACCTTTCTCCTGGTGTGTTTTGAACAGCTGACCTTGTAGTTAGCAGTCCGACTGTTACCCAACAGCATCACCAGGAGGCACAAAATAAGGAAGAGAGACAGTGTCCCACCGTGCAGGTTGGCTAGGCAGGACCGGTGGCGCTATGGGTTAGGCGTTGGGCTGCTAAGCCTAAGTTCAATGGTTTAAACCCACCAGCTGCTCCCCGAGGCTGCCTGCTGAAACTCGGAATAGGGCCGCTCTGAGTGGGAACTGACCGCTCTGAGTGGGAACTGACTGGACGGCACCGGGCTTAGGGTTACTTCAAACAGTGTGGTTGGGAGTGAGCATGAGTGGGAGGTCCACCCCGACTGACCTGGCAAATGTCACACCCCAGTAACGTCAGTGTCGGTGTCACCGAGGGACGCTAAACTAGCACTGGATCCAGCTAACCAAAGGACCCTAGTGCCTCTCCCTCCCACCGTCCCTCCCACCCCACCAGCTTCCCCATCTTAAATGTCCTGGCCTCTCGCATTTCACGAGGCCTCATCAAACCCTCACCAAACGTCGTCGTTTTGGTGACCTGAGAAGGAGCACACATCAGAAAGTGCACAAGAAGCGCAGCTGGGTCATTGTGTGCTTTTGTTTTTATAAACTGATTTGAAGGGACTGTTAGAATAAGCTGCTGCTCTCGATAAGTTATCTGGAATAGAGGGGTTTTGCAGGGAGTGGGAGGGACCTGGCTGATTATAGTTAGTCATTTCTTTGGACAAACTAAATCTCAAAGTGAGCACATTAGGCAAAAATTGAATGTGGTCAAAAAATCCTTTGTAAATCCTGCCAAAAGCCGGTAAAGTTCGGCAGTTACCAGCCTGTCCAGTAACAGGACAGTTTTACCCAAGACACTAGCAATAAGTACTGTGTATGACTTAAGGTTCACAACTGAAAGCATTTTCTAAATCATACGTTTCACTTTGCCAATGTCGAGAGTTGAGGTGACAGAAGCTACCTCTGCCGCGGATATAACCAGGGCTATACTGCTGAACGACAGCCGCTACCTTGTCTGAGTCCACGAGACCATTGGCTTCCCTAGAACAATGCGATGTGTAGGTGACTCTACCGGAGAATTCCATCAAAAAGAGGGCAATCAGCATCCAGTCATGAAGCAGTGGCCATCTATCTGAAGGAAGTTTAATTATCTTTCCAACAGAGTCAATTTCTGTTCTGTACACCCAGCCCCCCACCCACCCACCCAACATACAAATTCATTCCAGATACGTGCTTTGGGAAAATATAGGCAGACTTTCACTTCTCTGAAACACGAGGCGAAATGACTGCTAAGTTTGTTAGATAGCACTGCCTCCGTCCGTCTTTAAATACAAAGCTTTTAAATGTAAACACTCTTATACCGCCATGATTCTGATGAGCACACACGCTGCACAACTAGAAGCTCTCTTTCTTCTGAAGGTAGAATAAACCTCCACTCAGAATAATTTTACAGCTTTCCTGGATCAAGAATAGTGCTTAAGCCCTGTTACTGTAGTAGATTTAGAAAAAGATCGACTTCTGGGGGGGCCTGGGGACGTAATATGAGTGACTTCTCATGCCTCAGTCTTCACTTGCTTTGACCATCACTTGCCAAAGAGCACCCCTCTCTGCCCTGCGAGTACTGACAACTTACTTCTAAATCTCAAAAGAAAGGGTGACTTTAATGTTGAGAAAATGACTCTGATCCGAGAGGAAAGAAACAGCACAGTAATTTGGTTATCCACTTATTAAATATGCCTTGTTTTTCTAGTAAAATTTTCCCCAGTGCCTTCCTGGAACGTCCCTGCCTGTGTGGGCGTGAGCTGAGTGACCACAGATCTTGTCACTGCTTCAGCCTGCAAGTACCTCTCCTTTACAAGAGGCTGTAGTTCTCCGTCTCCAGCTGCCTCAATCCTGCCTCCTATGGATCGGTTAGACATATGAGATACCGTCAAAATACAAAGTGAGGTCTGTTTGTGTCAGGTGGGAAAGGTGGAGGTCAGCCTTAATAAAACCTCCCTCTACTCTTAGTCTTCCCTTTATAAACAAGAACTTGCTACAGACCAGTTGGTCTTAGACCCCACTCCCAAGCTTCAGTTGCTAACGTGAGGAAAGAAGGCCACTCTCCCTAACCTATACGGAAACTCCGAGGCGACAGAACAAGAAAATTGCACCATCGTGTGTCGATAGCCTACACCTGAGAGTAGTTATTAATAATGATAATTGGATTAATGTCCAACCTACAGAAGCAGTCAAGATCGGAAGCACTCCTGCTAAAGGTTCAAAGAGATTCATTAATGAGTGGAAGGGAAGAAAAAGATTTATCAAGCCCCATTTTTGCAAATTTTGAGAGAAAGTTAGTGTCTACAATCACTATAAGACTTTTAAACCTAGTCCCTCAAAAAGCTGAATACCCCCATAGATGCACTGCCAGAATGACGATAGGTTAGCAAATCTGTTTGATATCATTGTAAGCGACCTTTTCTTAATTATGGATTACATATGCTCTTCAGGAAATAACTCAGAATTATATGATCGTGCTGGTGCCCAGGAATGGAACAAGGTTTGTTGTTGTTTTTAGGTGCCGAGCCGTAGTAACCCTGTGCATGACAGAACGCAGCACTGCCTGGCCCGGCACCATCCTCACAATTGTTCCTGTGCCAGAGCCCATTGATGCAGCCACTGTGTCCATCCATCCCGTCTAGCCCTTCCTCTTTTTCTCCACCACTCCACTTTACCAAACATGATGTCCTTCTCCAGGGACTGGTCTCCCTGATAATATGTCCAAAGTATGTGAGACAAAGTCTTGCCATCCCTGCCCCTAAGGAGTACTCTGACCCTACTTCTTCTAAAACAAATTGATTTTATCCTTTTAGCAGCCCATGGACCTTTCAATATTCTTCTCTAGCACAATTCAAATGTATCTGCTCTTCCACGCTTTTCCTTATTCAATGTCCAACTTTCACATGCATCTGGTGTGATGGAGAATACCATGGTTTGGATCAGACACACCCTAGTCCTCAAAGAAAAATCCTTGCTCTTCAATACTCTAAAGAGGGCTTGTGCAGCAGATTTACCTAATGCAATGTGCCCTTTGAGTCTTGACTGCTGGATCTAAGGCAAAATCCTTGACAACTTAAACCTTTTCTCCGTTCATCACGATGTTACCTATTGGTACAGTTGTGAGGAGTTTGGTCTTCCTTACATTGAGTTGTAATCCATACTGAAGACTACAATCCTTTTATTATTATTATTTTAATCATGTTATTGGGGACTAATACAGCTCTTTTCACAATACATACATACATTGTGTTAAGCGCATTTGTACATAGGTTTCCATCATCATTTTCAAAACATTTTCTTTCTACTTGAGCCCTTGGTATCAGCTCCTCATTTCCCCCCTCCCTCTTCCACCCTCCCTCCCTCATGAACCCCTGATAATTTATAAATTATTATTTTTTCACATCTTGCACTGACCGATGTCTCCCTTCACCCACTTTTCTGTTGTCTGTCCCCCAGGGAGGGGGTTATATGTAGATCATTGTGATCAGTTACCCCTTTCTTCCCCCCACCTTCCCCTTCCCCTCCTGGTATCGCTACTCTCATTATTGGTCCTGAAGGGTTTATCTGTCCTGGATTCCCTGTGTTTCCAGCTCTTATCTGTACCAGTGTACATGCTCTGGTCTAGCCAGATATGTAAGGTAGAATTGAGGTCATGTTAGTGGGGGTGGAGGGAGCAATAAAGAACTAGAGGAAAGTTGTATGTTTCATCGGTGAGTTACTGCACACTGACTGGTTAGTCTCTTCCTCCTGATCCTTCTATAAGGGGATGTCCAATTGTCTACAGATGGACTTTGGGTCTCCACTCAGCACTCCCCCTCATTCACAATGATATGATTTTTTGTTCTGGTTCTTTGATGCCTGATACCTGATCCCATTGACACCTCCTGATCAATGGGCTAGTGTGCCTCTTCCATGTGGACTCTGTTGCTTCTCAGCTAGATGGCTGCTTTTTGTCTTCAAACCTTTAAAACCCCAGATGCTATATCTTTTGATAGTCGGGCACCATCAGCTTTCTCTGCCACATTTGTTTATGTACCCATTTTGTCTTCAGCGATCGTGTCAGGATGGTAAGCATCACGGAATGCCGGGTTATTAGAACCAAGTGTTCTTGTATTGAGGGCGTACTTCCACTCAACAAGTAGATCTAGGTGGTCACCTAGCAAGCATTTTAGCCTGCTCTAAGGCTCCCTTTAACATTCAGTCCCAGCGAGGAGTTTTCTTCATGGTTCCAGGTTGTATCCAGTTTCTGACAAAGACTACTGGTTCCTGAGTGCTCCAAAGCACTGGGTGGAGCAGATATTTCTTTGCATAGCTTTCTTTGTAGGCGAGGCCTAAACCAATCTAAAGATCAAATTTTAATGGCTCAAAGCAAGTGGACTTACAAGCTTTCTATTTTCCTACTTCCCATATTTTCCCAGAAAACAACTAAGTAAATATTGTGGCTTTATCTGACCTCTGGCTAGACAAGAAAAACTACTACAAGGGAGAGGTCAAACAAACA